GTATATTACATGCGTCAAGTTAAGCGCGTTTATCTAAGCCTTAAAATATCTAGTAATTCAAATCTGCCGCCAGACAGTTTTAGCACTACCTCACGTTAAAAAAATAAAAATTGCATCTATAAGTATATTGGGTGTGTATCTCTGCTGTCTTCTCTATGCCCTCGGCAAGCTATATTATAAAGTTTGCCACAGACGGCACTGCACGCCTAACACGGTGCGCGCGCATGCGCAATATCTCCAGAGAGAATTCACATTTTGCAAAGATTATGTATTTAAAATAAAGAGGAGTTATTCTAGCAGAGATTTCTATAATAACATTCCACCAGTAGACATCATTTAAGAAATAGGAGGTAGACATTGCATGTAAAGTCCCCAATGCGTATACCAGCCAGTACACAATCTGGATATGTTAGTGTGTTAGCGCATGCGCAATATCTCATCAGAAGAGTTATATTTTGTGATGAATATGCATTTAAAATAGTTAGGGGGTATCTCCGCATAGATTTCCATAATAAACTTTTATCAGTTGATCTGTCTTTATAATTAGGAGAGCGCCCTAGCATGTAGGATACAAAACACCTACTTTGTGCCCTCGCGTCTTTCCCCCTTGCCTCCCCTGTCCCTCGCTTAGCATCCTTCTTCTTCTACCGCCCCCAGCTATCTTCCCCGCAGCCTTTCCTCAGTCTCCCATCCCCTCTCCATCTCAGCAAGCTATATTGTAAAGTATGCCTCAGACGGCACTGCACGCCTAACACGGTGCGCGCGCATGCGCAATATCTCCCGAGAGAATTTACATTTTGCAAAGATTATGTATTTAAAATAAAGAGGAGTTATTCTAGCATAGATTTATATAATAACATTTCATCAGTAGACATTATTTAAGAAATAGAAGGTAGACATTGCATGTAAGCATTGTAAGGTCCCCAATGCGTATACCAGCCAGTACACAATCTGGATATGTTAGTGTGTTAGCGCATGTTCGATATCTCACCAGACGAGTTATATTTTGTGATGAATATGCATTTAAAATGGTTAGGGGGTATCTCCGCATAGATTTCCCTATTAAACTTTTATCTGTAGACATGCTTTTATAATTACGAAAGCGCCCTAGCATGTAGGGTACAAAACACCTACTTTAGGCCCTCGCGCCCTTCCCCTTGCCTCCCCTGTCCCTCGCTCAGCATCCTTCTTCTTCTACCGCCCTCAGCTATCTCCCCTGCAGCCTTTCCTCAGTCTCCCATCCCCTCTCCCCCTCAGCAAGCTATATTATGAAGTTTGCTTCAGACGGCACTGCACGCCTAACACAGTGCGCGCGCATGCGCAATATCTCTAGAGAAAATTTATATTTTGCAAAGATTATGTATTTAAAATGAAGAGGAGTTATTCTAGCATAGATTTATATAATAACATTCCATCAGTAGACATCATTTAAGAAATAGGAGGTAGACATTGCATGTAAGGTCCCCGATGCGTATACCAGCTAGTACACAATCTGGATATGTTAGTGTGTTAGCGCATGCGCAATATCTCACCAGAAGAGTTATATTTTGTGATGAATATACATTTAAAATGGTTAGGGGGTATCTCCGCATAGATTTCTCTAATAAACTTTTGTCAGTAGACTTGTCTTTATAATTGATAGAGCGCCCTAGCATGTAGGGTCCAAAACACCTACTTCATGCCCTCGCATCCTTCCCCTTGCCTCCCCTGTCACTCGCTTAGCATCCTTCTTCTTCTACCGCCCCCAGCTTTCTTCCCTGCAGCATTTCCTCAGTCTCCCATCCCTTCTCTCCTTCAGCAAACTATATTATGAAGTTGGGGGCAGCTGTCCCCCTTGCCCCCCCCCACACAGGCTACGGCTCTGCTACCCTGCTGTGGCATATGTTATACCCTAAATTTAAAAAATATCTATATCTATATCTATATCTATATCTACATCTACATCTACGTCTACGTCTACATCTACATCTATATATATATCGACATTTATATTTATATATTTATGCTGTATATCTGCCCCCCCCCATCTACCTGTCCTACTCACAACCCCTTTTGTGATGTTCATGCTCAGACGTCTGGCATCGCAAGCAGCTAACGGCAGCTATTTTATAAGCCTAGTTGATCGACGACGATGGGGGGAGGGGGGGGGGAGAAGCAAGGAGCACAGAAGTGCGCGCGAGAGATAAGACTTTTCTCGCCAGGATTAAAAGCGACCCCGAGCGACGGGCGCCTCGGGCATTTAGATTGCTAAAGGTATTAAAAGAAGTGTCACTGTGAGCGAGAGTGATGCAAAGGCTGGCAAAAATGTTATCAGTAGTAGCAGAAGAAGCAAGGGCAACAACAGCAGCAGCAACAGCAACATCAACAGCAGCAGCAGCAGCACCTTAACAGCATGCAGCAGCGGCGACAGCAACAACAGTAGTAGTAGCAGCAGCAGTAGAGGCAGCAGCAGTAGTAGCAGTAGCAGCAGCAGTATCAGTAGTATACTTGATCTGAAGTTAATGCTAAGTCACACAGAGATTGCTAAGTCATGGACTCGCCATGCAGAGGGAATGTATGTACAATATGGCTCCTTGCATGCTGCGTGCGCGTGTGCGTGTGCGTGTGCGCGCGCGTGTGCGTGTGCGTGTGCGTGTACGTACACCTGTGCGTGCGCGTGTGCCTTCGCGTGTGCGCGTGCGTGTGCGTGTGCGTGTACGTGGACCTGTGCGTGCGCGTGTGCCTTCGCGTGTGCGCGTGCGTGTGCGTGCGCGTGTGCGTGCGTGCCTGTTCGTCGGTACAGGATTTACGTCCGGCCCTAAAAACAACCGTAGTTGTCACTCCGGCTTGCTTGAACATGCGGTAGTCATTCATCCTGCCACTCATCCATCTGGCGTTTATTCCTCTGGGCACTAAAGCTGGGTTTACCCTACCGAGTTTGTTTTGGCGAATTGGCGAATTGGACTAACTTCCCAACATATACAACCGACAATCGCCAGTGTGAACGCAAAAGTTGCTGACCAACCGATCGATAGCAACTAGTTGCGAGATTAGAACAAGGTTGTATTCCAGCCAAACATTGCTGTCCCGCGTATAAGTCATCTACAGGGCATGTCATTCACAGGCCAGTAGCTCTCACTACATAAACATCGCGCAACTATATCAAAAGACCATTCTCAACATGCAAAGATCGAGACTAACCAAACTATGCTAATACTAACAACTTAAATAAACTTAATTAACTCAAACGCGAGATTAGTTGCGGGTATGTGTTTGTATCGGCTGCGTAATCTATGGCTTTGGATCGAAATAGTCAAATTAACGTACCTGAACTGATTTCTGAGAAAATTTGCCGCGAGACCCACACCTCGAAAAGATAAACAGATCGCAAAAAAATAGACTGCTAATATTGACCCTTCACTCCTGACCTAAAGAGTAGTGCGAACGGAACGAAACGCGTACACGTACGTACGAGCCTGCGAGTAGGTTTCGGATCCAGTCCTCTAATTTAGACCACTATTTCGCCAATCTCTAGCGGCCGAAGAAGCGATCAAACCGTCAGCACCTCAGGGCAAGTACGTAACAAACTATTTCGCTACTCCAGGCCGGTCTAGGTGATGATCGCAGGGCGAGGGCCATGGTAGCAGCGTAGGCAGCAGCATGCCAGGCAGGCGCAGGCAGGAAGGCAGCAGCAGGCAGGGCGGCCAGGTAGGCAGGTCAGACAGTAGGCAGTAGGAAGAGCAGTGCAGGCATAAAGCAAGGTCAAAGCAGGTAGTTGGGCAGGCAGGCAGGCAGGCAGGCAGGCGAGGCAGGCAGGCAGGCAGGCAGGCAGGACGTGGCAGGCAGGCAGGCGGAGGGACGCACGGAAGGAGGGAGGCAGGCAGGCAGGCAGGCAGGCAGGCGGAGGGACGCACGGAAGGAGGGAGGGAGGGACGGACGGAAAGAGGGACGGACGGACCGACGGACAGGCGAGCAGATAGGCAAGCAGGCAGACGGACGGACGGAGGGACGGACGGACAGACGGACAGACGGACGACGGAAGGCGGCAGTGTAGAGATGCAGGGCGGCAATTAAGAGCTTTGGCTATAACAAGTCATCTCGTCGCCGGCTGTTGCGAACATGTGCTGTTTACGCTATACGAGTAGCGATCAAATTCCTCGCTCAGTTCTGTTTATTTGCCCTGCGCGAATGTTTAGAAACACGTACGACTACGCAAGCGGTACTATCGCCGCCCAGTGGCAGCAATCAGATGTGAAAAACACTGAAATTCACAACCACTCGAACAACTGGCACTTAATGAGGAGAACACCCAACGAGACACAGAAACACGAGAAGTCGAAACCTTGCCACGCGTTTATATATGTTATATATATAATAATAGATTAATGTGTTATTATTCACTCCTGATAATATTATGATTATGGTAAATAAACACATATTGCATTTGTACCTAAAGTTATAATGGTTATATGCACTCTCTGTCGTTCAATAATTCAACGTAAATGCCGGTAAGAGGTTGCTACACAACATACTCCACATTACATTTACACTTACATTAGCCTTTTACACTTACATTTACACTACATAGACATTTACACTTACATTTACACTTACATTTACACTACATAGACATTTACATTTACATTTACACTTACATTATATTACATTGACACTCTGCATTCTGCACAAACCCAGTGAAAGATCATTGTATATGAAGAGTCCATAATAGAAATTTTCTAGAATGTTTTATTATAGACTCTCGTTATATCGTTTTCTGTGAGTTTGTACACGGTGGCGTGCACGGTACAACGGTGTATTGTATTGTATAGTGTATTGTAACGGAGTACTTGTGTTGAACAACTATTCTTTCATTATTGACGCTGCCTATATAGTGCGTGTGTACACGCTGTGTACGCGATGTGTTTAGAATTGTAATTGTAAAATACCAATTGATAATAGCCACTGATATTACTTATGATAAATACTGATGATTGATTGACTTTATGGCGTTTCATTTGCAGGTGCTTTCCTCATTCCCTATTTCATCTGCGCCCTCGGGGCTGGACTGCCAGTGTTCTTCCTCGAGATAGCCATGGGACAGTTCACCAGCGAAGGCTGTGTTACCGTGTGGAAGATGTGCCCTCTCTTCAAAGGCGAGCTGCTACTGCTATTATTATTATTATTATTATTATTATTATTATTATTTCTAAAGTGGATCATGGCATTAGCCGGTGGCTTCTGGGTTGGCCGTGTTCCAACCTGGGACATAGGAATTCAATCCAGGATTTTTCGCAGGATGTGTGCTGTTCCATGTAGTGCAATTTTCTAACCTTCTTGGGCAGTGTAGTGGCCAGGGAGTTCCTTGCGGTTCTTTTCAAGACAATTTTGATAGAGTCATGGGCAACCAACAGCCACAGCAATTATTATTATTATTATTATTATTATTATTACCTTCGCCAAGGGGTTGGCAGGAGGTTATGTTTTCACCGGCGTGTGTTTGTTCGGCGAGTGTTTGTTGGTTTGTGGGTTTGTGTACAGCCTAACTGAAAAAGTTATGGACAGATTGTCATACAATTTTCAGGATAGGTCAGTAAATTGACCTAACTTAGAATTGATGTGTATTTTGGTGTGATCCGGTTCCAATTATTAATTATTAATTAATAAATTTTCAGATTATGGTCAAAATGGGGTAACTTAAGAATAAGAATTCATCTACGTTTCGTGGATCCGGATCCAATAATTCATTAAATTAAATGAATAAAATTTTTTTTACAGTGAAGAATCATTACTGGCCTTGGCGAGGTCTGCCTCTCTTCACGATGAATCTAGTATTATTATTTAGTTATTATTATTATCATTATTATTATTACCATCATCATCGTTATCATTGTTCTAGGGATCGGCTACGGTACGGTTGTGATCGTTTGCCTGCTGAATTTCTACTACATCATCGTCATGGCGTGGGCATTTGACTACATGTTCCACTCGTTCACGACTGTGCTGCCCTGGTCGCACTGCAACAACACGTGGAACACTGAGAAGTACGCGGCTTAAATTGATTACATCACGAATTTCCTGAAAATTTATTAATTAATTAATTATTTAATTAATTTTCTGAATTTCCTGAAAATTTCCTGAGAAGTGTTTTGAACAGAATGGGTGACATGTAATTTTGTTATCGTCCTCGATGCTTGTTGCGTGTTTCTCGTGGTTTATGTTCATCGATGGCATACATGGGAATCATGGTTCTTTTGTTTACTAATATTATTGCCCGTTGTTTAAAATTATGAATTCTATATCGTTGTTGCTTTGGTCGTTGTTTGTACATTGTGTTTACGGTGTTGCTCTATCGTTGTCATCCTGGACCCTGTTTCTATAGTCGGTACTTGTCTCTCGTTGTTCATGTTACCGTTGCCATCCGCCAATGCCATACCGTTGTCATCCTGGTTTCTGTTTTTTTTTATCTAGGTACTACATTTGTGTTACATGTGTTGTGCATGTTTACAATGTGTGCAACGTGTGTACACATTGTTTACAAGTGTAGTACATGGGTTACATGTGTTGTGCATGTTTACAATGTGTGCAACGTGTGTACACATTGTGTTCATGTACTACACTTGTGTTACATGTGTTGTGCATGTTTACAATGTGTGCAACGTGTGTACACATTGTGTTCATGTACTACACTTGTGTTACATGTGTTGTGCATACTTACAATGTGTGCAACGTGTGTACACATTGTGTTCATGTACTACACTTGTATTACATGTGTTGCACATGTATACAATGAGTGCAACGTGTGTACACATTGTGTTCATGTACTACACTTGTGTTACATGCATTGCACATGTATTACATGTGTGCAGCGTGTGTACACATTGTGTTCATGTACTACACTTGTGTTACATGCATTGCA